TTTGTTGAAATTATGACTACCGTAATGGCTCCAAGCAATATCTGCTTCTTACTCTATACTCGCATGTTTGCACATATTCAAGTATATTAAAAGAATTTGCTAGAAAGTTTGTTCAAATTATTTAAAGTCAATGATTTAACTAATTATCAATGAAACAGGCTTAAGAAAACCTCCAATTAATCCTCCGGTTCCAATGAAACCGCTGTATTGGACAAGAATTATAACTTCGAAACCTGCTCCGGTCGCAGCCACAGAGATTAAAAAGGAAGATTTATGGCAGGTAAAATATGAATGTATTTAATTAGTAAATATAAAATATATATGAGAAATAAAAATTTTGAAAATTTCAAGAAAAGAAAAATACTATTTAAATTGTAAAGGCCGATTTAAAACTAGTTTTAATAGTGTTACCATTTATGATGGCATATTTATTTTAATATTCATCAGTATATTGGCGGAAAGCTCGCCAAAAAATTTTATGTCTTGAGCAAATCAAAATGATAAAAATTACCAATAAAAATTTAAAATTTTTGCATATTTGCAAACGTATTCACTTTTTCTCATAAAATTTTATTATTAAAGGATTTGGAGGAGGCAAACATTAGTAATTTGCAAAAATTTATGAATTTATTTTCGCGACAAGTTGTGACTAAGAAAGCGCCAGTTAAAAAAGTTGAAAAACCAAAGAAAAATGTTGCCGTCAAGATTTTGGATAGCAAAAGGTCTCAAAATGTTTATAATTTTGATACATCTGTGTAGTTAATTTGGAAGCTCTGCAGGCAAATTTACGAAGCGGTAAGTAACTTACGAAGCAATAAAAGATTTGTAATATGAATGAATAATAAAATTATTTCTCTATTTGTTTTATTGCAGAGAGCTACTCCTGAGGAATTGTCTATGATTAAAGAGCATGTTTCAAAAAATAAAGAAGAACCTTTAGATAAACCTGAACAATTTCTGTATGATTTATCAGAAATCCAATGTTTTGCGGAAAGAATTTCATGTTTTATGTTTCAAGTCGAGTTCGAAGATAGTGTTGCAACATTATCCAATACGCTCTCCAATTTAAAAAGTTTATGCGAGGTAATTTATATTTAGTCATTATATTATAATGAACTTGAAAATTAAATTATATTCAATTTTAGATAATGCTTAATGGAAAGGAATTGAAACAAGTATTTGGCATAATATTAAAATTAGGGAATGTTATGAATGGCGGTAATAGAACGAGGGGGCAAGCTGATGGATTCGGATTGGAAATTTTGGCCAAACTTAAGGATGTAAAATCAAAAGACAATCAAGTAAGTTATTTTTGTAATATCACACATTTGAACCTTATTAGATTATTGCTTCATTAATTATGAATTAATGTAGATAACGTTGTTACATTTTATTGTGGAAACATATATGGACGAATCCAAAGAAGAGGCGTGGAATGTGGCCCTGCCAATTCCAAATACATGGGACGTAAGCAGGGCAGCTGAAGTAGATTTTGAAAACTTAGCTAAAGTTATAGATCAACTTAAAGTTAAATTAGATGGTGAGTAAAGATCGTCATCATAATAATATTTTTTTTAATTAAAATCATCAACTGCCATAGTTTTATTCGCAGCTTGTACCAAGAGAACACAGAAAGTATTAGACAATTCATCGCCGGAAAATATACAACCATTTAAAGATAAAATGGAAAGCTTTATTCAAAACGCGAATGAAACTATAAACAACGAAAGAACTTCCATGCAAGACATAAAAAATAAATTTATAAAAACAATGTGCTTTTTTTCCTTCAAACCAAAGACGGGGCCGCTGGAAAGCTGTCCCACCAACGAATTTTTTTCACTGTGGATTCCATTTTGTAAAGATTTTGAGCAAATTTGGAAAAAAGAACAGCAGAAACGAAACGATTAAAATTAAAGTAAGTTAAGCTACAGATTTCAAGATTTTTGAGCAATTTCATTACATTGTGATATAATTTTTCCAAATATTTATCGCCATACTCAATCTCAAAATCCTCTGAAATTTTATGATCAATGTATTTCTAGCGCGTAAAAGTATTTTATATTCATCATTATTTTTATCTTGAGTACTGATCATAAATAATAATGATATATGAAATAAGATTTAATTAGATAAAATACATATACTTATTAGAGAAATTCTATTACTATTCTAAAGTAAAAAATAATACAAAACAAGCTGAACAATGATTTCTTACGAATATCCTTGCATAATTTTAAAATTACACTTACCAAAAACACGGAATAGAATGAACATAGTTTTGTTGAATCATTGTTTTTAAATAATTTCATATTTTAATTGATTTTATCGCAGAATGGCAATAGAACAGCGTGCAAAGACTACAAAGAGCGGACGCAATTCCAAAGTTGCCGAACGGCCGAAAAGCTAGAATTGAACGAATGTTCCCAAATAAAATAATGTGATATTTTTATTTATTATATAGGTAAATATATAAGTACTTAAGTTAATTTTATAGTCGCTTGTTAGAAATTTCTTTTACCTGATTATTTAAGAATAACTGTTATAATTATATAAATATATAGTGTCACAGAAGTTTATATAAAGACAATAATATGTAAAATTATTATTGATTACTAAATTGATATTATGTTATAATATTCGAATGATAAAAGTAATGCCGACGAAAATATAAACACTTTGCGCTTAAATTTATTACGATATAAAAGCCATAAGCAAATTTTTAAATTAAATCAGTACAAAATATTTATCAAATTTTATATTAGTAGTTAAAATTATTAGTATTACACATATGTATAGATTTTTGAGTTTCATCAATAAAGTAATTTTGTATTTTGGAGACATATTTACTTTTTGTAAGCAAAAATCCGTATTTATGTGATATTAGACCGCATAACGACGATTTAAGTTTATTTTTGAGTCAATCAATTATCTTAATTGGTTGATTTTCTTCTATTTGTTAAACGATTATTTTTGCCGTGACAAACTTTGAGGCAAAATTTATTACCATCATCATTTGTACACTCAGGTTCTTTATCTTCTGGAAATGGAGTATCAAATAAAATCGTGTTGTACTTGGTGCACGTGTAGTAGTCCTCATGTACTGGTCTCGTGCAATCTACCATTAGATTCAATTGGTCTCGTTTGGCCCTCAAACCAGATTTATAATTGAGAGGCGTCGGTGTATTGGTGTAGTTTTCTCTTGTTGTCTGCATGGAAGTATTCTTTAAGAAAGTCGTTTGCAGTGCTACGCCTACTTTCGAATATGTTCTCAACGTTTGCATAGATTTCGATTTTCCTCGGCTTAAATTGGCCAGCTGTATCGCCTCCCGACGCATATCCCATACATTCCATTTGTATTTTTAACTATCCTCGTTTCGTATAGATGAGTCACAGTTTGTATTTCTACGTCTCTTAGTTCTTTGTGATCTGGTTTTGGAGCTAGTTCTTGACATAATCTCAGTGCATGGTCACTCATGTTCAATATAAGCTCTTGTATTTCGAATAAACCAACCAATTCTGGCTTACCACGTATTACTTCTAAGGCGCTGTACAAATACCTGTCGGGAGTCCTACCAAATGCTTCAATTGCTTGCCGGGTACTAAAAGCGTAGTATTCTGAACGATGTTCCAGCACACCCAGTTCCGGGTTTGCAGGAATCAAAACACCCCGACAATGAACCAGATACCAAATACAAAATCCATTAAATTTTAAATAAAAATCTTCTTTTTGGGACACTTCATCGTAGTTTAATAATATACATTTGAAATCTGTTAAATCTATATTTTCTTTTGGCATTTTCTGCAACCACTCATTTCGTGTATAAATAGGTTTGTCACCTAGCATTGCATGCATTATTGGAACTTTGGCAACCATCAGGTTGGAAACTGATTTTAATTTTAAACATATTTCATTAGTTTCCATAATTATAAATAATTGATTTTGAAGATCAAACCACGAGGACGCTATATTGTAAAACAAAGGATATACGGTAGAAATGATTAAAGCATTTTTCTTATCCACGACTTGTATTGCAGTCAACAAATTTTGTTTATATTTAAGCAAGCTATTTTGTATGTTTTCACCTACTTGTTCAAGGCGCAATTTTAATCTTTTCAGAAATATTTCATACTGCCTTTGCAATATAAGACGATCACGCGTGTTTTCGATATCTGTTAGAGATAAATTAGGTTGCACTCTAAAATTTACTAATAGTCTTCTATCATCTATTTCAGTAGAGTAAAGAATAGCCGTTGTATGCGAGTCCAATATATCTTGAAGTTCACCTAATGAATTATTGAGTAATGTCTTAGATTTTGCGAACGCTGAATCCAGCTCAGAAGGCACATCGAGGATTCCCGAACCAGAACTTCTGCCAAATTCCTTGTTCAATAACCGTATTCCTGACACCAAGTGGGTCAATTCATGTATATAACGAATTTTTTGAGTTTCGTCTGATTCTAGGAAAGAAGCAATATCAGCCAAGCTTGCTATGCTGCTCAAGGCTGTTAATCCTTCATTAAAAACATCCATGCGGGATGGATGACCCATTTGCGATTCAAGCAAAATATGAACGGCTAATTTTCTTCGAAATTGTTCAAGAGATTCTTTATTATTATTTGTTACGTTTAAAGTCTCATTTATAATTTCGCGTGTTAAAGGATATAAGTAATTACTTAATGATTCATTATGCATTTTTATTGACTCACTTATGGTATTGCAGAATTCTTTGCAATTCAATTGCATTTTTAACGTGGACATTTGCGGAGATTCGTCATCTGGAATAGCTAATTTACTAACCACATGATTTACAAATAATTCCAATGTGTCTCTCTTTACCACGCCCTCGGATGAAATTCCCATATCGATATCCAAAGCGAATAACTTTGTTACTTGTTGGACTAATGATTCTTCAACCTCCAAATTTCTAGCGATGCATTCTCTACATATTTCTTGCACAACGTTTTTGAAAACGTTATCGTTTTCAAATGCTCGCTCCATTTTGATATCTGAACAAAATTGTCTAAAGTATATAAAATCAAAAAAAAAGTGTAATATAAAACTAATATTTAGTAAATCATTTGTTATTTAAGGCATTTGTTTCACTAATAATCCGAATACATTTAATCTATGCGCTTTTTAGTTGGAAACAATATTTTATGTATCCGAATCTGTTTTTATGTTCTCCAAAAATATTACACATCATTGAAAAAAGTAATATATATTAATACTATAATTCTATAGTATTAATATATAATACTAAAAATTAGTGTAATGTGAATACAATTCGATAGAAGAATTTAGGATGCCAATTGAGAATAGAAAAACGAAATTTATACTGGATGTAGGCAGCAAGAAATATGAACTACTCATTTTGCATTTAATAACTAAACATAAACAGATGAATAACGATCTGAAAATCAAATTACAAGAAGAATGCTTTAAATTTCTTTATAAAACTTTATTATCAAATTATCTATCACCAATAAAATTATAAAGTTGTCAATTCAAATACCCATTTTTGGGTTTTTGAATCGGTACATTTAGCTGCATATACAAAGTCTTGGGATTTTAATCGTCCGGCATCAAGGCATAAATTTGAAGCTATATTTCGAATTTGTTTGTCTTTCGTATACTCCCATTTTTGATCTCTATCACGACTCATGCAGGGAGACATTGTGACTTTATGTTCATTATCATCAGCACTGCTTTTGATATTAGCACAGCTCTCAAAAGTTCTTAAAATTCCTTTGTGTGTTAGAGCAATCATCTGACTAGGTTTAACAGTATTATGACAAGTATAAACACCCATTTTAAATATGCTATCAGAACTATGTTGTAAATTATCTAAGCACAACTGCATAGCATTGTTCATCAGCATACCATAATATTTCGAATGCTCTGTTGGAACAAATAAATCTGGATAGACATTTTTCAAATACCATTTAAATGACTTACATTTTAATTTTTTTCGTAAAGTTTTTCTATGTGTTAAATCCCCAATATCTGGATGATACCGCAAATCTGGTCTATGTAAGAAATACAAATCAGAATATTCATCCATCCAAACCAAAGCAAGTCGAGCTGTATTTATTCCATGCGTGTCTTTGTCATTTGGAAATTGATAAGGATGAAAATCTCTAAATATATGTCCAACCCTAGAACAAGGGATAGTCTCTATTGTACCCCCACATTGCCAAATTCTAAAAGACATTTCTAAGTTCTCACCACCCCAACCATCCATTTGTTCATCATATGAACCTATTTCCCAGAAATATTTTCTTGAAATCGCTAGAAGACCACCTGCCATAGTTGGAGAAAAAGTGGGGGATGTAATTCCATGACGATCATCAGACTTGCTCTTTTTACTATTCTCTAATTTTCTTATTCGTCTTACTTCTCTATCAGGAATGTCAATCCATGTGAAATGACCATTCCAAGAAAAACCTCCTACTTGGAAAAAGTCTCCATTATTGCTGTATTTAAGAGTATCAGAAGCTATTACATCAATTATGGGCACAAGCACACTTGTTGGGGATTCTCGAATCCGATGAACTAGAGGTTCCAACCACTGAGTGACAGCTTCACAATGGGCATCAAGAAATATAATAACTTCTTCTCGGGCTAATCTTGCTCCAGCTAATCTTGCTCGGATAAGACCTGATCTGTTTTCTAATCGAATAAGTTTGACTAAATTTTTAGAAAATCTTGTCTTAATATAATAACTAAGTTTGCCTTGCAATTCTGTATCAGTGCTTGCATCATCCACTAAAATTATTTCTTTTAAAATGTTGCTAGGTGATGTATTCAACACACTCCATATCGTTCTCATTAATACTGAATATGGTTCATTGTGAAATATAATTATTACACTCACAGTTGGAAGAACACCATCAAATATCTTGGATTTACATTTAGGACTTCGAACATCAGGTGTTGTTCTGTTGTAACTAATTTTACTGCTTAAATAAGTGTTTAAAGCATGCTTTTTAAGAGACTCATCACCTAAGATTTTTTCTTCGTCCAATAAAATAACGGCTTCTCCATTATCACCCAAACCTGGAACCATTCTTCTTTCATCTTGTCTAATCTCTTCCTCATATTTTATGTCAGAACTTAATATTTTATGTTTAGATATAAATCCTTCTGATTTTGCAATTTCCTTCCTATGACGGTTATTTAGTACATTAAAATATATAACAAATCCAAGTATAAATAAAAATACAAACAAAAGCTTGCAGGTGAATGTTCGTCGAATAGTAGGAAATTTAAGTAGCATTTTTGTGGCTTTAATTCATGTTGGAAAAATATAACCTGTAGTTTGATATGTGAAAATAACGTGGTATTACATTATCGGATTGGCTATCATTTTAAGATAAGATATAAAAACTGGAAGCCCATGGCAGACTTTTAATAACATAAGCAATATGTTTAAAAAATGTTGAATACAAACTAGGAATACGACATAGTTTACAAATTTTTTGCTAGTGTCAGTGTCAAAAAGAATGACGTCCCCACCTAGAGGAAAAGCGAATAATTAAAGCGATATGAACTGATGGAAAATCGCCTTTCTCGGAAAAAAAAACTAGTTTGAGTAACTAGTAGGGTGCATGGCATCGTGCCTTAAGGCAAATTGCTGGAACTTCCCGTACCGTAATTAAAAATCTTGGTACGGAACCCAAAAAAATTACACAAAATGTGTACACATTATTAAAATCTCTATAAAATATTTGATAATTTGATACATATGTCCAATAAACATTTTTGACAGCCAAATAACATTTTTTTAACTTATTTTTATTGAGAGTCCATAACCGCTGGACCTGCCTTCCCAAAATCAGTTTTTTATCTTGTCAATACAAATAAAATGTTTTTTGGATTATTAAAATCGAACGCTCCGTTCTCTTAAAAACTGAGTTACCGTTTTTGGTACTTTTTGCCCCGTATCTTCGGAACAGCTAGACCCACATGAACACAGGGTACTCTATATATAATATATTTTTTTAAAAACTATGTTTTGTTGGCTCATCATACTATATTAATTACTCCTGAATTTTACATAAATATAGTTTTCATAACAAACTTTTTATTTGTGACTACATATTCTAGTGTCTACTTAGTCATGACTAGACAACTGCAGTTGTTCTAACCAAATTCCTGCTATTTTATTGACTAAAAAATCAGTTTTCTAACTTATATGTTGATATTTTATATCTATAATAAATAAAGTATAATGTATAATCATTCAGTTAAACTTTTTTTGTTTACTACATCTTTTCATTATAAATTATGTTGGATATGAAACAATTTGATTAAAACATTATCAATATTTTTTTTTAATTTAGAAACTAATAATTATTAATTTCAATATTTTATTTTTATATTATTTATTATGGTAACAAATAACATTAACATTAACATGGTAATAATTAAAAATTGTACTACAATACAAAATAGTATCTGAAAACTAGAAAGGCACAGTATAATGTAATATAATTGACCTATGTAAAGCATAAGAGCTCATTTTCAATATCTAATTGAATAATATTTAAGCATTTAAATAATTCTGATCATCTCATATATTCACACTGTAACAAAAATGTGAATATAAAGGTGGGATTGTATGGACTTGTATTAATCAATCATAAATCATTATTCATTTCAAATTTAAATAATGTTTTCCATTAGTACAAAATATCAATAAATTAATAATACCTACATATTAAAATCAACTCAAAATAGAATTTAATAATTCTTCAATAGCATTCATCATGGTATAAATCTTATTTCTATGCGACCGGAGTGCTTATTTACAGCCTCCCAGCAGCTGCATTGTAAAGAGGTTTTGTGCATAATATCGGTATAAAATTTTCCATTTAAATGATCTATTTCATGTTGTATTATCCTCGCTGTCCAACCATAGGCTTTCATATTAATTGGTTTTCCATTTTGATCGAAACCTGATAAAGCAATTTCTTTATAACGAGGAACATCTGCACAAAAACCACGAACTGATTCACATGCCTCTTGATATGATACTTTGTCATAGTTTATTATCTTCATTTCAGGATTTATAACAACCTAAAAATTTACCAAGATTAATTAACTATAATTGATTTAGATTGAATCATTAATTACTTGGAAGGGGACTATCATCATATCTCTACTTTTTATGATTTCTGGTGCATACGAATCAAGCAATCCTTTGTCAAAATTCATTGCAAATATTCTCAGGGAAACTCCAATTTGTGGAGCTGCTAATCCCATGCTTTTATATTTATTCATAACATATTTCATAGTTTCAATGACTTGCTGAACCTCATCACTATTTATTTTATCTTTTGAAACTTCTTTAGCTACATTTCTAAGAACAGGATCGCCTATTTGTGTTACATGTTTGTAAGGTGGATTGTTTATCCTAGGGCCCCAATATTCTTTATACCATTTCGTAAAAGATTTGAACCGTTCATGGTTTTGATTGCATTTATATACTCCTTTGAATAATTCGTGTAACTTGGAAGTTTTCAACCTTGTTAAACTCAGCATAATGAACAACATATAATTATTTTTTAGGTTAATAATAGGTTATAATAATAACAAATAAATTAATACATCATGATCACTATGATGCAATAGATTTTCAAGTATTTCAAATAGGTCTGTTGACTGGTGATTAATAATTATAAATATTAGTGATATTTATAATTTATGATTTTCAGTTTGAAATTCGTGCTCTAGACTTCATCGAACTAGTGGCGGCCATCTTTTTTGACAATTTGACGTTTGATACCGAGATTTTTTGAACCGCATTTGCTTCGGTTATTATTTAAATTTCTAATTATATTTTATGTGAGATTTAATTAGTTTTTGCACCGCGGCTTTTACTAATTTATTAGATTAATTTGATATAAAAATTTAAAAGAATGTGCTTTTATAAATTACAAAACTGATATTTGTTATAGTACTTGGATCTTCTTCATTTCGTTATAATTATAATTATGTCTATTAACAGGGCGATTAATTCTAATCATTATCATAAATGAGATATTTACAACAATTGAAATTTGTGATTTGAAAAATATGAAATAGGTATTGAAAAGGTGAAATTAGAAGTGAAATTTAAATTTAAAGTGGTTGTGTAGTTCAAAAGTGTGTCAACATTGAGGGTTCCAGACATCTTCTCCAGATAATTTTCTTCTATATGTAAGTCAAATACAATTTTCATAAAAAACAAGTTAAAATAATATTTTTTGGAATTATATATAAACATTTAGTATAAGTCAATAATTGAGTATCTTTTTTAATAATTAATAATTATTAATAACCTTCTGTAAATGATTGTTGAAAAAACACTAAGATATTGCACGGATAATAAATACAGTTTGTATATATTTTAATATATAATTATATTTTTAACTCGGGAATGATTAATATGAATCCAAACATGATCCAAACATACTTTAACTCAAATTGATGGTTTTTGATATGATTTTCCATAATAAACATTGCAATTTATAAATTAAAACTAAATATAAAAATTAAAACTTTTAATATATAAAAATTAAAACTATATATATATATATATATATCATATCATTTTTTGTTAATTAATAATAATATGCTAAATTAATTTTATACTAGAAACAGTTTTGGTCAATAATTGATTTAAATAATATGTTGGAAAATAAATTTTAGAGTTTTATTGAAATTGTTTTTGGGTATTTATTCTATTTTGATTAACATTTTGTTATAAATATTTTTTATCTCAACATTTATTAAAATATGTTCAACATGTTATTTTGATGATATCCTTCATTATGTAATAGAAACATTATTTACAACTGCAGTTACATTATTTACAATTATAACAGTCTAATATCATTCGTTGAAAAAAAATAATTTCTACTTTTTATATACATTTGCAAATAGTTATTTTCTTGATAAATTAAAGCTGCATAAAATAGCCACAGTGTGTGTGCAAATAAATATTAAGATTATTAGTTCGATCAAAAAATAAATTCCAAGATTAAATCTAAATTGCATTCTAATTTTTATTCAATAATAAAGTAAACAGAAAACACACCAATTCGAACTGCAATTGCAATTTTATCAACATCTAAAAAAATATTAAACTGAATATTTATTTCGCTTCAAATATTTATTAGGAAATAGCTAAACATCAAACTTCTAGCAACAGATTAGAGTTTTGAAATTTACAACCTATTTTCTGATTAGAAATTCAGAACCTATTTTCTGCTGTGAATGAAAATATTGAACAACCTTGTATAATTATATTGTACTGTATTGCAGTATATTTTGCTGGTTGAAAATATGAATTACACGAAAAATTAATTTAATATAATTACTATTGCACAACTGCTTGAGATGCCACATTCCAGGAGGCTCAAGCGTAAATCACCAATGGATAATATCCTAATCTAGCAAATTGTTTAATGGAACAATTTCTATATTTTTTAGAGTAATCATCAAAATATGTTAGTTAAGTTAATTTAATTTTTTTTTTTGTAGTATTATTATATTATTTTATTATTTACTATTATTATATATTACTATTATTATTAGTTACTATTTTTATGTTATTATTTTTATTTATTCTTATTTAGTTTATTCTTTTTAGTTTATATATATATAAGCAATGCAGCTCATAGAATATAAGTACTGTTCTGATTGCTGTAAAATAATAAATGAATAAAAAAAAAAAAAAATATATATATATATAATTACTCAGATTGTATGAAAGTATTATGTAAATCTATTGATCACTTTAAAGGACGAAGGAATGGAATTACAGAGCATTACCACGTTTGGAAAATTCCAATTGGAAACCTATTAAAATCCAAAGTAAATTACTACAGGAAAACCTACAGGAAATTGGGTCAAAATCAAAATGTAAATTTGCTCAAAATATTCCTCACCCTATGAACACGAAATACGAAGTATTAGGATTTTATTGTTTACTTTAGAGGACAAAGGAAACGAATTACAGCAAATTCAAGGCCTTTCGAACGCTGCAGGGTTTGGAAAATTCCAATTGGAAACCAATCAAAAGCCAAAGTAAATTAATAAAGTAAAACCTATCACTTGAGATAACAAATCAAAATTTAGTTAATAATTGGATCAAAAACAAAACATAATTTTGATCAAAACATTCCTTAAAATCTTCGACAACTTCTCACCAATATAATCAGCAACTTTATGAGAGTTCTTTCTAAATGATGTGACAATTGAAATTGAAAAATCGAAATACAAATGTTTACCAGGTACCTAATTAGACTAATAATCAGTTTTAACAAATATTTTCAACTATGGGTTTTCAGTCAGAAAGACAACTGAATTATAATCATGATTTCTAAACCAAACAAAGATCCCAATCAGTTTTCTGTAGATTTTTCGAAATATTCTAGAAAGATTTTTGTTACAAGATCATCCCGATGAAATATGTATAGTACATAATTATAGTGTGATTTAAAAAATCACTTCTTAACATATTACAAGCGGGGCGAGTAACAATACCCGCCTCGAGGACTATTGGGTAATTGGGTATTTTTGCCTTTTTGAATTATACTGACTCTAATATCGGTTTACATATTGATATTGAAAGTGTTAGCAGATAGTTTTTGTTTAAATTCTATCAATTTAGTTTTCATCGTCAATTTTAGTATTTAGTGTACGTAATATTATCATAATTAGAAGTATGTAAAGTTTTGATATTTTTTACTTTTCTTCAAATAACTTTTAATTTTTATTTCGAACATTATAATTTGTTCACATCAGTAAAAACTAGATAAAATTTACTAAAAATCTAGTAAAAACTGCTATATACATTCCGGTAATGAAATTTTGAATAACTTGAGTTACGATCGTAGTTGAAATGCGGTATTTTTCTGATAATTTGCACTATATATATTTAGAATATATTTTATTTTTCTTTAAGTAAATATTACTTTTGAATATTTGAAAACGAAGAAGTCTACTAAAATCTAGTAAAACTTATTATTTACATTTGGATATCGAAATTTTAAATGGGAGGACATTATAGCATTGAGGCACTTTTGTATTTCGACTGATTAAAATAATAAACTTATATTTCAAGTTTTCATTTGTACCTCTTGCATATTTCTAAGGTGTTTCGCCAATTTTGAGGAGAACCACACATTTTAATAAAATACAATTGTATTTGTTGATAATGTCTCTTTTGACTCCTCTCAAAGAATTGTATTCTACTCTTACGGAATAGATAATTAAGTATATTTAGAAAAATAACTCATTAAATGAATAACTGAAAATAAAAGTACTAGTGCAAAATGAAAGAACTAACTGCAAATAAATAAAACAAAACATATTCTAAGTGCTAAACTTATATGCATATCCTTATATAATTGAAAGAATAGTAAATATTATTAATGTAAACTAGAAAACTTACCTGTATGGAACCCCAAGCCGACAGCTACATGTGGTTTCGGGATATCATCTTGGTGGTCAGGTTGTGAAAGCTAAAAGGATTTTAACACACTGATAACACTTAATGGAACCTAACTAATCGATTTCTTACACAATGAAAATATCTGATAAGACTGAATAAAACGAAATTCACACTACGGACGTATGAAAAGAATAACTAAACATTGGTGTATGCATGGGCCTACCAAGTTTGTCGAAATTGCCCGATTTTAATAATTTTGATAGTGTTATCCGATTTTACATGCATTTATATAGGATAAATGAGTTTTTGGAGTCTTATATATTAACGATTATTAGTAGTAAATATTTATAGTTTTGATTTTTTCTTTTTCTTACCGTCTTTTGCATGTGTTGAGCTTTGCTTATAATAAAAATATTACATATTATATTATATAAAAAAAAATCAAGAATAATAAAAAAATTCTTGCTTTTTTTGTAAATTTTTCTGTTTTATATCAATGAAAACAATATTTATTCTTTTTATTGCTTATAATAAAAATATTACATATTATATTATATAAGAAAAATCAAGAAATATTAAAAAATCTTTGCTTTTTTGCAAATTTTTCTGTTTTATATCAATGAAAAACAATATTTATTCTTTTTCGGCGCCTTTGAAATGAATGTGAAATTCAAATGAAAACGAAATATGAAACGGAAATGACTCCGGTCGGATACAACTCCGGTCGGATATGACTCCGGCCGGATATGACTCCAGTCGGATATGACTCCGGTCGGATACAACTCCGGCCGGATATGACTCCGGTCGGATACGACTCCGGTCGGATATGACTCCGGTCGGATACAACTCCGGTCGGATATGACTCCGGCCAGATATGACTCCGGTCGGATACAACTCCGGTCGGATATGACTCCGGCCGGATATGACTTCGGTCGGATATGACTCCGGTCTAATACGACTCCGCCCGGATACAACTCCGCCCGGATATGACTCCGGCCGGATACGACTCCGGTCGGATATGACTCAGGCCGGATACAACTCCGGTCGGATATGACTCCGGTCGGATATGACTCCGGCCGGATATGACTTCGGCCGGATATGACTCCGGTCGGATATGACTCCTGTCGGATACAACTCCGGTCGGATGTGACTCCGGTCGGATATGACTTCGGTCGGATACAACTCCGGCCGGATATGACCCCGGTCGGATACAACTCCGGTCGGATATGACTCCGGTCGGATA